GCGTTCCGTCGAGTTCTTTCTGTCTCGCCGGCGCCGGGCGCGCAGCAGCGTGTGCCGCCGCAAGGTGGCCCAGGCGCGAGAGAAGCGCTTCACGTTCGTTTTGGCGGTGGTCATGGGTGTGTTCGTACTATGCTGGTTCCCCTTCTTCTTCAGCTACAGCCTGTATGGCATCTGCCGCGAGGCCTGCCAGTTGCCTGAACCGCTCTTTAAGTTTTTCTTCTGGATCGGCTACTGCAAAAGTTCGCTCAACCCGGTCATCTACACCGTCTTCAATCAGGATTTCAGGCGCTCTTTCAAGCACATCCTCTTTCGAAGAAGGAGAAGGGGCTTCAGGCAGTGACCCTCAGGCCGCCTGGCACTGATCTGGACAGCTCCGAACTCGGGCAGGCAGAGTCAGGGGTGACCTCTCCAGAGTTCCAGGAGTGGCCTGGAACTCAGGGCACAGTGTGGAATGTAACCAGAAGGAGCTGGGCGAGAGACAACTGGGCCTCCGGGAGTGGGGAGGAGACAGGGAGACCCCTTTGCCTTCCCATCTCAGCGAGTGGCTGTGGCTAGGTTGTGGATCCAGTTCCTGAAAGAGCTTTTGTGGAGTGTGATGGCTGTGAAGTTAGGATTTTAGACAGCAGACAACTACAGCAAGAAAGGATCTCCCTCCACCCCCAACTCTCAGTGTTCCCTGTGAGCAAGGACTGACTTCCTATGACCTGAAAAGCGTCTGTCTGGGGGAGGAGTGAGGGCGCAAACAATCTCTGATTACTGAGAGTATTTGTTTGCCAAAAACAATGACAGCCAAAACAACAAAACCATTTTCTAAATAAACCTTTGTAATCTAAGTGTCAGGTGCATCGGTCAGTCCTTAAGCTAGGAGAGGGAACTCTCTAGACTGTCCCCTGAGTGTTCCACACTGGCACACACTAGGGTATAGTGTGCTCTAAGAGATAAGTGTTCTAACTGCCTCTCTTTCTCGAGGAAGGAGGGGTCTCCTAAAATAGTTAAATGTTTGGGGTATATGCAAAGTGTATACTCAGAATTCTTTTCTGTAAGTGGCTAAGAGGCAAAGGAACGGAGGGCCTCAAGCTGGTTCCAAGTTTAGATTCTGGGGGTTGTCATCCCCACATCCCATCCAAGATCTGCCCAAGTATTGCGCTCAGAGCTCTGTGTACTTCTGGCATCCAGTATAGTCTTTGGGTTGCCTCTTTTAAGTAGGCAAGGTGGAGTGAGACTGGTCCCAAGAAGTCTTCCTACACACATATGGTGGAGTTGTGGCCAGATGCCTTTGCCTAGTTGCTGAGTGGTCAGAGTGAGCAGGACAGTCCCCAGGTATTGCTTCTGAATCAGAGCCAGGGTCATTGTGGCCCAGAGCAAAGAGAACCTGTTGAGCAGGTCTAGAGACCCCCCCCAAGGACTTCTCCCCAAGGCCACCCACTCTTGGCCTTTTGCTCAACCCTCAGCTCCCAGCATAAAACACTTTTGAGAGCCTTCTTGTCTCCAAGTCAGGACCCCATGAGCTCTAGTAGCCCCATGTGGCAAGTCCTGGCAGCCCCCAGGTAAGTTGGGAGGAAAGTTCTTAAGACCTGGGCATGGGGTGGGAAATTTGCTTCTACACCTGTGATCCAATTCACTCCAGATGGGTAGGCTAGAGGGCTCTTGCCAGAATCCCTGCTGTTACTGCAGAGCCTGTGTCTTTTCTGTGTCCCCATCCCCATCAGTACTGTCCTCCCCAAACCCCTGCCCAAGTCAGACACCAGAGCAGGTCCTTTCTGGCCCAAACTGAAAACTGTCTCTTGGGAAGAGTGTACATGGGCGCACGTGTGCTCTCTCTCTCTCTCTCTTTCTCTCTCTCTCTCTCTCTCTCTCTCACGCACACACACAGCTGCTTGGCCTTTTCATCCACTATGGATACTCACCATATCCCACAGTGTCAGGAACCACCATCACTTCACATGGTGACACACTTACTATGTTCTGAGCTTAGGCCCAAATGGGGAAACTGAGCCTGGAGTGATGAAACAGAACTGACTAGTTAAGGTGGGTCAGGGAGACCTTAGTTCTCTCTGGTACTGTGAAGAGAGAACTTTGTGAGATACCAATCTGCTCCAGATGCGGTCAGGGGCCTGGGGGTGATACATGGGAAACAGCACAGTTGATCCCACTAGGGAGAGGATTGTGCCCAGGGATTCCCCCATATGCTTATAGAAAGGCCTCCTGGACCCAGGGTCTTAGAATTGCTACTGTAGAACTTGCATCTCAGAGTACCCAAGAATAGAGCCAAGATTATTGATGAGATGGGGAGGCAGTCCCCATCCTCTGCACTCAGTAACCCCAGATCCAACCCAAGACACCTTTGTCTTAAGCAGAGTAGCATTTTTGGATTCTGTGAATATTGCTACAGGCACATTTCATGAAGCTCAGAGAGGTGAATAAATTTTGTCTTGGATCACACACCAGGGAAGGTTTGGGTTCCCTGACTTAAAATTCAACCATAAAATGAAGATTTCTAGACAGGTCTTCACCAACCCTTAGATTGTGGGGAATGGATTCCCACAGAGGAGGAATGAACCCCCTAGGCAGGGACCAGCTGTAAGAAAAGGCAGTTTTGGTTTAGGAAACTGAATCCTGGGGTTGTGGGTAGTAGAGAAGAGACATAACAGGAGACTACAAAGAAAGTCTGGGTGCCAGGCTGAAGAGTTAGAGACCTCCTTGGCTTGTGGTGTGTTTGGGGGGGAGGCAGGGGGTGGACTTTGAGTCCCTGGGAGGCTGAGTTCTGCAGAAATGTGTTGGCCCAGCAGCCAGAGCTGTCCTATTATATAGACTGGGGTGGCCTGGAGCTGATCATCTGTGAACTCCAAGGGCCTTGGGTGCAGTAGGGGACATGTCAGCCAGCCCAGAGCCGGCTTTCTGGGAATCAACTCTGTGAACACCGCTGGAGCTCCACTGAGGCTTCAACAAACCCTATTCTTTTTCCTTTCCTAATCCCAGAAATGATGCTCTAGGCTCTGGCTTGTACGCCACACAGTGGGGCAACTGTTCATGCTCTCAGGGTTAGTGCCTGGAGAGGCAGCTAAGCAGCTGGTTAAACAGACAAGCCCACTACAGGGACATGCTGCCTTGCTCACGTCTCACATCTTATGAGGATGAGGTGGAGTGCTCACATTTTCCTAGGATGCTGTGAGCCCTGACTGTTCCCACATGCAGCCCTAGTACATGGAGGAGGGGCCCATGTGAGCTGTAGGCCAACAGCTCTATCTACTCCTGTGGTAGTAGTGGTCTCTATGGTCCTGGCATTAATTGGCCTCTTCTATTTCCAGGTCTCTTAAACAAAGCCAAAGTTGTCGGACTCTGTCTATGGTTGAGGAGACTGAGGCCTAGAGGTGACTATGGCCCAGTCCCTTAGGTAGTGGGGGAGAGGGGCAGAAACTCCTCTGAGAGACCCAGCTGCAGAGAACCCAGATTCTAAGCCCTAAATCCAGCTCCATGAGTGACATCAGATGTGACCCTGGGCCTCACAAAAGAGCCTCCAGAAGAGTTTGAACAAGATGAACTGAAGTCACCCCAGCAAGCAGGAGGAGGTCAGGCCCTGAATGCAGGGTGCTGCCCAAAGTATAGGGTTCTCAGGTCTCCCTGCCTGCCCCAGCCTGAAGCACACATGGACACATGTGAGTATACTTAACCCGGATGCAGACGCTCAATCAGTGGAAAGGGAAAAGATAATCTGGATATCCCCTTACAGCTCAGGACGGAATCCAAAAGAACTCGGGATTTCTAATACTTAACCAAAGCAGCTGGAATCTCTGAAGCCCCCCAGGGTGGGGGCGGAGTATGGGAGGCACATTGCTGTAGCACCTGATGACAAGAAGGCCACCCTTCCTGGAGAGCTGGCAGTGGTTGTATTTTTATTTCAAATCTATGGGCTGGGCTCTAATAGTCCAGCCTAGTGTTGTTTCAAAACATACGGTGCCTGCAGGTCTGTATTGGGCCTGGTTGGGCAGTTGTGGCCTTTTGTCCAGTTAAACTCCAGCTTCATGGACCTGTGATAGTCCCATATGTAAGGAGGAGTGGAGGAGATGGCACCCCCAGTGTTGTGGCCAGCACTATGGCACCTGTTTGTACTCCAGCCCATACATTCTCCTTAGCTTGGGATACCTGCCATCCATCCCTGGGTGTATCTCAGGGGCAGTGCCTGGGTGTGGAGTGGGGATTTCATGGATGGTAGGCAGGGTCCTTGGAACTGAGGGATAGAGAGAGAAAGTGGTGGGGGCCTGTCTCCACAGGTCTGAGAGGGTCCTGTGGTTCCCACTAGGCCTTCTCCTGCTTTGTACCCAATGTAATAAGGGCATAGTTCCCCCTTCCTCACCTCCCACCAAGATAGAGCAGGGGGTGAAAGGGCTAGGGTGCCTCCAGCAGGGTGCAGCGCAGTCCTCTGAAGTCAGCCTGGGAAGCTGGGCCAGCTGCAGACTCTGGGCCAAAAGCGAGCCCTGGGGACCAAAAATGTATTTCTTTCCTGCCAAGAGGATTTGTGGCTGCTCACAGTAAAAGCCCGGGGACAATGGGATCATTATGGTCAAGATAAGGAATCAGTCCACTCAGGGCAGAGAGAATGCTGGGTAGCGAGCCTGGTGGAAGGCATCCTGCCCTCAGGTCTGAACACAAACCAGGCCCAAAGCTGCCATGGAGGAAAAAAGAAACAGGATATGCACACAGTTATTGATGTGGGGTTGACAGAAAAAGCTGGAGACCAGGAAGTCTGCAGCATATTACCTCCTCAGCTGGGGAGAATCTGCTCCTAGAAAGGGTTTTCAGATACCTTGGAAAACCCCCAAGCACTTGGATTACTGCACTGGCCCAGTCTCCAGTCTCCATCAGCAACCACAGGCCCTAAGTGTCAGAGTCAGGGACACTGAGGGTCAACAGCCATGCTTGAAACTGTGGCCATGTAGCTGTGTGGACTCCATACTCCCACAACAACATGAGCACCAAGGCTGCCAGCACAAGGAACTTCCAGACTCTTCCCAGCTGGCTCCCATGGCCCAGGACAAATCTACCTCAGAAGAGTTCTTTCTCATGCCTTTCCTGCTCTTCCCTGTTATCCCTGACTGCACTCTGCTCGCTGCCCCTGGTAACGAGTGCTCAGTCAATATCACACCCACCCTCACACCTATGTCTATTGGGCCCACCTGGCCCACCTCACCTCCAGAGAGGCTCTCTGAGGCTAAGCTAGCCACTGTCCTGCCTCCCAGCACAGGCATCAGGTCTGTGCTGATGGCTGAGGGGTCACAGCAAATGGTTGAAGAGCTTGCAGCATCAAGAGACCCAGGCTCTGCTCAGCTCCTCTCTGATGCA